ACACTACATCTGTTGCACATTTATTGTTCCGTTAGAAAAAAAGCCCACGATTGAAACAAAATCTTCAGCACTGTGACATTCACGAAAAAGGGTTGGTAAGAATAAAAGAAATTTATTTATAACAAGAAGCTATTAACTTGAAGATAAAAGTTGAAGATTTACTAAAAGAAACCAACTAGCTGATTTAAATCAATTGACGTTGGATACTAGAAATTAGTCTAATCAAAATTCCCAGACTAACAGCAACTACAGAAGAGAAGAGAACCCTAAATTGTTTGTTACAAAAAGAAAAAATGCCTACAAAAGATGAAATGACGAAGGATTTGTCACAATATTGGGATAATGAACACTTTTTTACATATATTCCATTCTTTATTGTCATAATCGGGGGAAACAAATAAAAACTATTACAGGTATAGTACAAGTTTTAATTTTTGACAAACAATAATAATAATAATAATGGCGACTAGAGTACGAAATTTGGTCGTACTAACCAATTTTGATTAATGTTTAGTTTTTGCCGCTAATTTAATAAAATGAATGATTAAATAAATAATAATTTCTTCTTTATTGAATTGAAAAATGCCAACATTACTGTTAATGAGTAACTTTAAATAAACATTTTCTTCCAACTACAAAAATAAAAAGAAACCACACCAAAGATGTGGAAACACTTTAAAGAAAAATTTCCAATGAGAAAAAACTTCTCAAAGATGCTAAACATGGATCGGAAACATAATAAAGTCAATCTTAATAATAACAACAATGACATTACTAATATATTAATAATGATGGTTCTAATCGACGAACAGTTTTTAAGAACCCATCCTTTTTATGGTTAAGTTATACATCATATTTTTTGGTTTACTCAACGGAGTAAAACAAAAAAAAATCAAAATTAATGAATTATAAACTTTATAATCCTGTTTTTTTTCGAAATAACCCATAAAGGATAATATTTTGCTTATTTATTTACCTTTTTGCTTTTCAAACACCTTCTTTTGATACAATGCGAATTTTGAGTAGATACTGAATTCTTCCTATTATTGATTCTTTTATATGTATAAACAAAACGGTAATCATAATGGAAAATAAAGCTTAACTAAATTTAATAATATATATAGACACGGACGTTTGAATTTTTTGGATATTAATTTTGATAAAAAAAATGGATATCATTAAAACTGTTGTTTCGTCATTTTCTATCAACGAAATTATGTCCAGCCAATTGGACCAGAATAATACTAAAGTAGACCCTGAACAAGTTCCTCCGATCCATAATGATAATGCTACTGATTGTGATGGTGATTATGATGATGGTGATGGTGGTGATGGTGATGGTGATGGTGATGGTGATAACGGTGATGATGATAATGATAATGGTAATAATGACAATGATGATGAGTGTCTATCACCTGAAGTTATTGATTCTGGAGTTAATATAAAACTTGGATACTATTATAATGGTAGTATTGAACTATCGGTTAACCCAAACATTTCAAATGAAAATATAATTGATGCTTATAATTTTTATGACACATCCACAAATCAACGATTTGATTTCAATTCAAAAATTTAATTAAGATATGAATATTAAGAACATCATATGAACATCATATGAAAAGAAGAGCAGATATGTTGGAAATAAATTAACTAAGCTTATAGAAAAACACTTCCATCTAAGAACGACATCTCTTTAAGAATATCTTTAGAAAAATTTACTATGTTCCTGAGAAGGTTATTTATGAGAATACTACTGTATTAATTTATAAGCATTTGTATTTATATTTTATTAATGATAGATAAATAATGATAGATATTTTTTTAAAAATAGATTAGTAGAAAATTAAATAATTTTTCAATGTAAAAAAACATTTTTCTTTATATTACAATATAAAGCTATAGTAAATATCCATAATTTTCATTGTATGTAAAAAAAGATCAAATATTTACTAATGTAGATGCCCTCCATTTGTTACCCAATAATTTGTACAATATATCTTACAAAAGTCTTGTCCTTTTTTTTTTAATAAGCAATAAATTTTGTTATAAAAAATTTTATTATAA